GTCGCGCTGCTGATGACGTCACGTACGTGCTTTCGTCGGGCGCGCTTTAGTGGACCGCGGTTTTGACGGGTCACGGGAAGAGTCAGGTCTTTAGACATTTCCAGAAGGCCAGGAGACTGTCTCACCTCTGAGAATGTTTTAATAGTTGGGGGCAATGGCAGAACAGGTTCTCTCTGGACCCCATCGGTCAGTATTCTTTAATTGACGGGGTTTGCAATATACCTTTCCTGCCTGACTGAGAGAGGGATAGTCTGATGATTCCATAAGTAATCTGGCACCATGTCATGTAGGCTTTAAAAGTCATAACCAACATCTTGAATTAGATCTGGAAGCAAGAGCAAAGGCCCTCCTAGCTACAACCGCCACTTGTTCTCCACAAGGTCTCGGAACACTACCTTCATGGACAGTCTGGCAACAGCTTTGGAGTATATATCTTTGGGGCAAATAGTGCTTTAATTTACTGTTTAGATACAGGAGTAAACCCTTGTTTAGGTCTGAAGATCAACAGTATGTAGCATGTTGCTATCTTTTTTCCCAAACCCATGAAACCAGTCCGCATACATGAAATACTTATGTGTTGAAGAGTATGAGGAAAACATTTCTATAAATAGCTGAACTATTAGTGTAGAAGTTTGAAAAAGGTGGAAATCCTTTTCAACCACTAAAGTCTCCTTTTCCTATGATGTATTGAATTCCAATTTTTCAGTGAATAAATAAATATAGGAATGTAGCATAAAATTGCATTTATATAAATACAATATTTCTAGATTGTATTGAAAGTACTCTATTCTGCAATCAGATAATAACAACAGGTACCAATCTCTACTTAAATCATTTTGGTTGAAAGTATTTAAGTTTTAAAAAAATTGCACAACCTAATAAGTACCTAATAAGATATAGTACAGTAATGCTTATTTTAGGTACTTTAATATAGTATTATGAATTTTATCTCAAGACTTAATTAATTTATTCATGCCACCTATCTGACAAATGTATACTATAAAAAACCATTAAAATAAATATCAAAATACTCTACAATAAGAATATAAATATTATTTTAAAAGACTAGAAAAGAGCATATTTGGTATTACAAACCATACAGCCATCTCACTAATTCTCCATTTTCCTAAGGACACCCCCCCCCCCCAATTCTATTGATAGAGCTACATTTTGATGAACTTCTGGCAGGCTACCATGGATGGGTCCAGTCTGATCTCCAGAGGAAATGTTATTCCGTAGGGCTGATGCCACAGCAGAAAAGACCTATATCCAGATGTAGACCTACATGTAGACAAAATGTACCACGTATCTCTTCTACCAGAATTGTTGCCACATTATTTGAATTCCTTTGTCTTAGTTTTTCAACCTATAATATTGTCCTGCACCACGTGCCTTTTGAAAATATTAAAGCTCCTCTCATGATAGGAGTAATGAAACTCATAGGCATCACGTAGACATTGAAAAAAGTTGAAAAAAGCTATACTTTTAAATAAGTATTAATATATGTATATATGTCTAACAATCTCTAAACTCTTGATCTTAATGTGCTTTTGTTACATAACTGTATGATGACATAATGAATTTTCCATAGTGATGGGGGAGGAGTATCCAGACTGGGTTGACCTTGTCCTCTCATTGATTGGATTGAGTCAGATAAGCTCTTTGGGACAAGCCCCTGGCCACCAGGTACTACCCAGTTATCGACTCAATCCACTCACTGGATGGTTCACCATTCTGGATCTCTAGCAAATCTCAAAGAATTAAATGAAAAATAATTGGACCCGTGAATTTTGCTTCTCTGTACCGTGTTACAGCCTCCTCCTGCAGGGACTGGACTGCCACAAGCCCCCTGGGGTGGCACGCTGCCCTGGTCACTGAGTGAGACCGTAGTCACTCAGTGAGGACCTTTGCCGGGCAAGCAGGAGGAGAGGGCACAAGCCTCCTGGAGGCAAGCCCTGCCGCGGAGGCTCTACAGGCATAGGAGCACCCCTCAGGAGTCGCGCAGCGAACTGCGGCTTCTCCAAACGCCACGGAGTGCCCGCGCTGGATCCACGTGGCCAGAAGACTGTGGAGAAGCCGAAAAGGAATTCCCTGGCCGCAGCGGTGTCGGAAAGAGGCAGGAAGCAAGAAATCCAACTGCAGAGGTGCGCAGCAGCTCCTTGGAGCTCACACCTCTTCGTGAGTACTTTTAAAAGTCGCGCCCTTTGTTTCCAGCCATGCGGTGCCATTTTGAAGCCAGGAGGAGCCAAGATGGCGGTGCCCAGTAGCTCCTAGGAAGAAAGAATCCAGGCAGCTGCAAGCCCGGTCAGCAGCCCCACCGGAGGGGCAGAGGAGCATCTACACAGGTCAGTGGCCTTCCCAGAGACTGCCCAGGGGGGCGGGGGAAGGAAAGGCCAAATCCAAAAGGAAGCACCTCACCCCCAGGGCAGATCCAGAGGAAGGGAGTGGTCAAAAGCCTTCCAAGTCCCCTTCCAAGTACGAGAGGCGAAGGCACAAGACCTTGGAGAGGCTCTGCAAGAAGGCTAGTAGCCATAAGACCTCCCAGGCCCGGGCACAGAGAGGAAGACTCCAGGCACTCCCTTTCCCAGTGGAGCCATAGAGGAGAACCCAGCCATGCCAGCAAGGATCCCCATAGACACCTCAGGCCTTTGGGGCTCTGCTCAGGGGTGGCAACCCCCCCCCCCATTCTGTGGTGGGGGCAGCCGTGCCCACTAGACTACCACACTTGGGCATTCCTTTTGCTCAGGGGGCATGGACTCCAGCTAGATACCCCCACAGAGGCGCCCAACTTTCAGAAGTTGATGATGCGGGCCTTCCAGCAATGCATGGCAGTGGCATTCCAACAGCCACAACCACAGAGGGTTCCCCCTTTCCCCGCCCCCCCAGGGTTTCTGAATACCTGGAAGCCCATGAGGAAGACCTTCCCAGTTCCTCAGCCTCATCCCAGGAGGACAGTGACCTGGAGAGCGAGGAGGGCAAGATCAGGGAGGACAAGCTGTCTGAGGAGGAAGGCATGCCTCCTCCTAAACTGACATTCACCGGGTTGTTCCAGCCCTCATTATTCAAGTCTGTGTTCTTCAAAGCCAAGACAGCAGCCAAGCTAGGCAACAGAGCAACAGAAGCGCCGCCTCAATGCCAAGGCTTCTCAGCGGAGAACATCTTCAATGAGCAGGCCATTGAGGCTGACACGGTACCCACGCCCAAGGCCTTCCTTGATCTGGTCTGTCCTTAGCCACTCTGTCCAAACTGCTAGGCACCATGATCTCCACCATTGGCATCATTCCGTGGGCTTGTTTCCACACCAGAGACTTCCAATGGTTCCTCTTGCCTTTCCAGCAAAGACACATGAGCTGCTCGCAGGCCAAAGTACTTCTTCCTGCAGAAGTCTCCCGCTCCCTGACTTGGTCGATGTCCCCAGCGATTATGAAGGGCGAAGTCTTCTGGACACCAGACCGCATGATGGTAACAACGGACGCCAGTCTGAGCGGGTGGGACACCCATCTGCAGGCTCAGATGACGCAAGGACAATGGACTCAGGCAGAAGGGACTCACAACATAAACTGGTTGGAGCTCAGGGTGGTCTGCCTGGCTCTGTTACACTTCCAGCGCTCAGGGGCCATCACATATTAATCCTCACAGACAATATCGCCACCAAGGCCACATAAACAGACAGGGGGGACCAGATCGTGGGACCTCATGAAGGAAGCCAAACGTCTGGGACAGTGGGCCGAAAGGAACCTCTGGTTTTTGAGGGCAGAACACATAGCGGGGGTGGACAATACCAGAGCTGATTGGCTCAGCCGGGCCGAGGTGGACAACTCGGAGTGGAGGCTGCAGCCGGCGATCTTTGAGGAGGTGGCGGAGCACTTCGGGCGCCTGGAAGTCGACTTATTCGCCACTCCCCTCAACGCCCAGCTCCCAAGGGTCTTCTCCAGGTACCAGACACAGGGGGCAGAAGGGACGGATGCTCTGCGGAGCCCCTGGCCCAGGGGTCTTCTGTATGCTTTTCCACCCTTACCCCTGATCCCCAGGGTCATTCGGAAAATCCTTCAGGAGGGGGCGGAAGTGGTTCTGTTGGCCCCTCACTGGGCCCGGAGGCCGTGGTTTGCGGATCTCCAGTCACTTTCAGTGGAGAAGCCCTGGAGAATCTCCCAGGAGAGGATATCCCTCAGCCAGGGGTCGCTGGAGCACCCAGACCCTCAATGGCTCCAGTTGGCCGCTTGGCACTTGAGCTGAGCATCCTGAGGAAAGACCTCTTCTCCCCCAGGGTGATACGGACTATTCAGGCCGCCCCCAGACCCTCCATAGAGCGCATTTATGGTGCAACCTAGCGGGCCTTTTCCACATAGTGTAACTCCCGGGGGCGCGATCCTATCCAGGCCACGGTGCCACATGTTCTGGACCTTCTCCAGGCGGACCTCGACAGAGGGTTAGCGATTAGGAGACAGGTTTCAGCCATCTCATCAGTTCTCCTGTGTGGCAGGAACCAGAGTTTGACTCACCACCTCATGGTCAGGCAATTCCTCAAGGGGGCTTCCAATCTCAAACCGCCCATGGTACATAAGTACCCTTCCTGGGACTTACATAGGGTATTGGACACTCTAACAGGCACTCCGTTTGAGCCTTTAAGAATGGTTTCTCTTAAGTTCCTGACTCTTATGGTGGCTTTGCTGGTGGCCATCACCTCCGCCAGGCGGATATCCGAGCTGCAAGCACTGTCCACCAGGGAGGATCTCTCCATGTTCCACCAAGACAGAGTGGTGTTACGGTTGGATCCATCTTTCATCCCCAAGGTGTGCTCCTGCTTCCATCGAGCACAGGAACTGATCTTGCCCAACTTCTGTCCAGCTCCTTCTCACCCATTAGAGAAGAAGTGGCACACTCTGGACGTAAGGAGGGCTCTGAGGATCTACCTCAGGAGAACCAGGCCAAGCAGGAAATCCGAAGCCTTGTTTGTCTCCTTCCAGCCAGGGTCTCTGGAAACAAGGTAACTTCCACCACCATAGGCAGGTGGTTGCGAACCTGCATTGCCACTGCTTACCAATCACAGGATCTGCCAACACCAAGTCATATCACAGCTCATTCCACGCATAGCGCAGCCACCTCCACGGCCTGGGCCACACAGGCCTCCTTGGCTGAAATCTGCAGGGCAGCCGCGTGGGCTTCCCCCTCACCCTTTGTTAGCAACTATAAATTGGACTCTTTTGCCTCAGCAGAAGCCTCGTTCGGCCGCAGGGTGTTACAGGCGGTCCACAGAGCGTGGGCCCACCTCACCAGGCATGAGTTGGGGGCATGTTGCCTCAGGGGTCTCCCTCCCTAGGGATGTGTAGGCTTTGGTACGTCCCAGTCTGGATACTCCTCCCCCTCACTATGGAGAAAGGGCGTTGGTACTTACCTGATACGCCTCTTCTCATAGTGGGAAGAGGAGTATCCAGCCCCTCCCTGACAGTGTTTTGTGATTAAGCGATATGTTCGTTGTTTAAAGAAAGTTATATATATTGATGTTTAAACCAATAAAAGCTAATAACTGGAATAAGAGTCTAGAGTGAATAGTGCAACGAGTCGGATAGAGTTCTTCGCCGATAACGGGGGACTACCTGGTGGCCAGGGGCGTGTCCCAGAGCTTATCTGACTCAATGTAATCAATGAGAGGACAAAGTCAACCCAGTCTGGATACTCCTCCCCCCACTATGAGAAGAGGTATCAGGTAAGTACCAACACCTTTTTCCTTTTATGGATGACAGCTTGATGGATTAAAGTAGGTAAATGGAGAACTTTGAGTTCAATCTCCTCATATCTATTACTCCCCCTTTAGGCTTTTTTGCTGCCACCATCAGAGATATCCTTAACTGAAAAGATTGTGAAAGTTTATAGGAAATGGATACTACATGAAAAACCTCTCTTCATGGAAGAACCAGATGCAAAGGAAACTACTCAAGATGATGATGTCATTACAGAACACTCAACAGAAGAGACCGATGGCAAACAGGTATGTCTTTATGAATAGTCTGTGGGTTTGTGTGATGTAATCAATTGAGGTTTGTCAACAGTTATATAATCGAAGCAGAGATGTTGCTCAGTGTAATGTAAATAGTATATAGAAAACTTGGTTCCACTTTTTCCCTAACAATCTGTTGCTACTCAGGAACTCTTTTTTCTCTTAGTCACCTTCAAATTTTAGAGGAATTGTGACAATTAACACTTTTGTTGTTTATCATAAAGTATTTGAATAAGTTATCATAAAAATTTAATTATATGCTTTGAGCATGGAAGGTTGGGTATGAAAAGTATAACAGAATCAAGATCTTGTTTTCCTTAAAAACCTTCTTAGTATCATATTCATGCACAAGTTGAATAAATCTTAAAGTGTTCTTCTAAAGCTTTTGTTTAATAATCATTTTATAATGATGTAAACATTTTTCTTTTGGTCCTGATCATTACATTTCAGAGGATTTCTTTTGTCAAAAAATAAAAATATATGCGAACAGAATTTTGATCTTTAAATCTGAAATGACTGGGCTTAAAATCATATCATTCTTAGGATTGCATTTTTAATTTGGAAGAAACGTTTATGTTCATTCTTTTTTCCTTAAATACACTTTTACCCAAATGAAAGATTGATACATTAAAATTGATAGTATAAATCCTTTTGTCTAAGAAAAGTAACTTTTAGGATGTCCTGTTATAATTTTCCAAAAGCACCTATTTGCAATTTTAGAATAGAATAGATCTAGAAGGGACCTTGGTGGCCTTCTAGTCCAGGCTCCTGCTCAAGCAGGAGAACCTTTACTATTTCAGATAAGTAATACAATACAATATAATAGCAGAGTTGGAAGGGACCTTGGAGGTCTTCTAGTCCAACCCCCTGCCTAGGCAGGAAACCCTATACTGTTCCAGACAAATG